TCAACATCCTATTCAATTTGACCTTGTCTACTTGTCTTTGGTATCAGTGGCACCATTTTGTTCATAGAAAAGATTTGTAAGCTACTGCATGGACTGCAACAGCCATAGAAACAAAGCATTCTATCTTTCTAAACAGAGTTCCTGATATTAGAAGTACAGCATGAATAGAACATACCTATGCCAATAAATGTCCTATAAAAATAATTAGCAACACCTTGCACAAATAGCTTTCAAATAATTTTATAAATTAAGGGGAACAGACATCAGTAGCCATGATTTTTCTTATGCTAATTCCTTTATACAAGCATACTTACTTCAAAATAATTAATCACTAAATTCCACAAACATAATTAAAGAAATTAGATGTTTGAGGCAGCCTCAGGAAATCCAAAACAAAGGCAAAAGAAACAAGTGTGCTATATATCCCCAGTGCCTTAAAAACAAATAGAAAGTATTGCACCAAAATAACAGCTGAGAAATGGACAAAGGTCCTATCTGAAATCCAAGTAAATTAAAAAAGAAAAACAAAAAGGAAGTGATGACTACTGAGTTTGCCCACACAGCTCTTGCTTAAGAAGTAATCGTAAGCTTGACTGACAGAATTCAAATTTTAAATTTTAATTTCTGAGCATGTGTGTGTATACACATGCTCATATTATGGGTAAAATCCCAAAGCATCTACATTAGGTTTTGCATTAACCAGAATGAAGGTACATGGCCACAGCAAGTTATCCCAGACTACATTTTGTACATTGCTGTACAATAACTGGAGAGGCCAAGATGCTACTAAGGGTGATCCAGAAAGCTACATGGTGTGCGAGCAGTCCAGAACAAGCCAGTAAGAAACCCCACATGTATGTAAGTGCTAGGCGTCTTTCTTCTCATCTTACACTTCCCTGCTCTCAAGCATCAAGGTTGCTCTGGGTAGGCCGGGAGCTAGTAGCAAGGTCATGCTGGACAGGGGACAGGTAGCTCCATCCCTTCCCCAGCCAGGGAGGTTCAGCCCTGTAGTCTTCAGGTAGATCTTCCACCCCACACTGGTGGTGATGCCGGGGAGCAAAAGCCTCTGTGCCTTCCCTCCAGTATACCCAGCTAAGAAGTAATAAGTCTTGGAGGGGAACATAAGCAAGTAAGAGGGAATAAATGCTCTAGCTTAGTCCTCAGGCAACGGGCCAGAAGATACCTGGATTACAGGTGTTTTAATAAAATTTCTAACATAAATGTAGTTTTGTGACTACAGTTACATTTCCCTGGTCTCAACCAAATCCCTTAGCCACTAGCTTGTTACATAAAGAGGGGGAGCGTGGGAGTGGGGAGGATGACAATGTTTTCCAGGGAAAGTGGCTGCATGTGTTACTCACACCTAACAGATGGGGCTCCTGTGAGGGGTAAGGCAGAAAGGAGAGAAGCATGTCTGCTGCTCCGCCTGGCGCTCACATCTGGGTTCTGCTGATGGGGAGCTAGCTTGGGGGTGAGGTGCTGCAGAAAAACAGGGTTTTCCTTTTTCTGCCTGCTGAGGCTCATTTTAGACAGAATTCAGATGGTCTTGCCTGCACACACACATCCAAGTGGTATTTACAGATACAATATGATGTCTGGAAACCTCAACATAACCAAGATCTATTTATAATGGACTAAAATCTCCTGAAATGCAATACTGTAATTATGTGAAAATATTAAACAGATAGCATCATTTTAAAATACTAAATAGCACACAAAAATGTTTACTTCCTCCTCTGTTTCTCTGGGCTAGCAAAACAATAGCATTCATGGAATGATGCTTATGCCAGGTTTAAACTGGAAGTAGATTTTAATGGTCTATGAATGGAAAAACAGAATGGAGCACACGGAGCACAAACACGAGTGGATGAGCACTGTACAGGGGACAGCTGCACTGAGACGACTACACCAGGTAGCAGCACAGCCACTCCAGAAGGTGCCATGCAGCAGCACAGCACTGCTTCCATCATTAAGCTCCCCCACACTCCGTTAGCGAGTAACTGGGATAGTTAAGACTGGGCAAAGAAGCAGTCTTAACATTTATTTTGCCCAGGGGACCAAGCAAGTGTCTCTGCATAGTTCATAATAGATATCGTCACGTCAGGCTGGCACTAACTTGGGTATCTCTGCAGCATGCCTCATTACTTAGCACAGTCCTATAGGCTTTTACAGCTCTGGTCTATACACAGACACTAAGGAAGTGTTCTCTAGGTTGGTTGTTTTTATTCAGAACAAACGCAAATAAAAATGCTCAGACTTTCTCACAGATAGCATGTGTAACAATTCCATTGCTGGCTATTCAACCCCTCCTGCTGATGGTGTGCTACTTGCAAAATACTTGCGTATTCACTGAGTGGGAGAGACACTGACTCTATAGCCTGATGCTCAGAGTGGGATGGAAAACACGTGGATTCCAGTTCTTTCTCCAGGGAAAGTTTAATTACTATGCAAAGTGCGTAAGACTCAGCAGGACCAACTGACAACCATCATAAAGGTGGTCACAGTCCTCTGATGGCGATGGAAATTATGAGTTCATGCCTCTCTTAGCCAAGAACAGAAACACATTCTGGTTAAACAACCCAAACCCTTAGTCTTGGATAAAATGAGGACACAGACATCAACTTTTTATCAGTTCCATGAGCCTAGGAGAAAGAAAAAATACGGGATGAATACAGCCTACAGGAGTGAATAGTTTTAAGAGATGCAAACTGTATTCTTAAACAAACAGCTAACTTTCTAAAAACAGTTCATCCACCTATCCAGGAATCTTAGTCATTATATGGGTATCCATAACCTTAAAAATTATTCTAACACAGTGCTATATTGCTTTGACTCTACAACATGTTTTGTTTCAATACAGTTATCAATTATACATATCTCAGTGCAGTACCAAGAGAAAATATAGTGACATGTTGCTGACAGCTATCTCTAACTTACAGAAATGAATAATTTTTTTTTCCCTTGTATATCCTTTCAAAACACTCAGGAAATTTAATTAAAATAATTTGACAATATGTTATCAAAAACTATTTTTAAGTTAGAATATTGGGAAGTTAGTACCAAACTTCTAGTGCAGAACTACCTAGAGAATTCATTAGAGACTCTGACCTTAGATGTTAACAAAATCAAGGCTGTCCCAGCAGGATAAAAGGACATTTTGAGACATGTGAAACTGATAAATTAGAAAAGGTTCAGGATCTTCATGCTAGTCTTTCCCCACCTGTGTGTGAAAAGAAGTATAGCCACATCCTCCTGATAACCCAAAAGCTCTTGGCTGCTATATTACAGCATTCTGGTTCAAGACAGCTTCAGGTTTAGCAGATTACTTTACCATATCTGAAGATTTAATGCTTGCAAGCCAGAGTTCTGGACATTTGTCCCAGCTATCTTGAAGATAAATTATAAAGGGACAATCATGATTTTGTATATCACATTGAACACCTTTTTTCTTCTCTTTGAACTATATTAGATCCTTCAGACTATGAAATGGAAATACACTCTTGGTCAAATCCCAATTTTGCATTCCTGTTCCATGGCCTTTGTAAGTAGGGAAGGATTTTTATGAGGCTTAGCTAGCACTCTTTTAAGTCTATTTTTAATGTATAGTCAGGGAAGCATTTACTTGAAACCTATCACATACAGCAACTGCCATTAAATTACCAAACATGGAGAACACATAACACTATCATATATATACATATATCTATAATATGTGTGTGTGTATATATACATATATAAATAAATTGTAACCATAGTTTCAAGCATTCAACTGGCTTTTCTCACAGATATAAAGAAAATAAAAATAGAAGGAAGAAATTTGCAATGATAACCCACTCCTATTTCTTCAAGCATTTATGTTTCATTTTCAGAAAACAAAACTCTGACATGTCAACCTAATGATGTGAATGGGAGCTCTATACATTTTCTAGAGACAACTTTCAAAGGCAGGCACTCAATTGCACATGTAAATTGGGTGCACGTAATGCCTGACAGGTTATTGCATATGCACACAGAAAGAAAAAAAGCAGATTCACAGCTATTTGACTACAATCGATTTACCATACACACGATGACATATTTTACAGCAGCATTCACACGTCTGTGTTAGAATATGCAGATTAGGTGCACACACCTTAGAAATTTACAGTGGAAAAACCTAATCTTCAGTGTTTACTTGTCAATCTCAATTTTATTTTTAGAAGTACTTGAAAATAAATAAGGAAAACCAACACAATTTTCTAAAAGAAATACTTAGCAACACAGTACAGGATTGGCTTTAGTCTATCAGTGAGCCAGTTACAAGAAACACACTGTGGTTCTGTAAGGTACAACAAAGCACTGAACACAAAACAGCAGGAAAAGTAATTTGCAAGCTTGTATACATACCCAAAACATCTGGAAAGGGAGAGCATTAATGAAGCAAAGAATGGAAAAAGCCAAGACAATCAGGTTCATGTACAAAGCATACAGCATGAGGTAAGGTTATAACAAGTGTAACATACACAGAAATGACAAGAAAATGGTTTGAGTCCTTTTGACAAAAAAATGCAACAAAAGCACAAAGCTGGTT